GGATGGGGGGTGCATGGGGGGGTGGGGAGCATTCCCTGGGGGAGGGGCAGGGTCGGGGATGTCGGGGTACCCCCTCCCCCTCCCCACAAAACACCTGGGCTGGATTTCTGCACCTTTATTCAGCCTCACCCCCAAACCCAGGGGAGGCTCCGTGTGTCCCCCCCAGGGGCTGAGCCACATCCCTCAGCCTGGGGGGGCAGAGCCCTCTTGGGGGGGCTCCTGGGGGGGCTCCTCCCCGCACTGGAAGCGCAGGAAATCCCAGACCTGCAGCCCCCCCCTCTCCCGCAGGTAGCGGCCCAGGGGCACGCCCGGCTCCAGCAGCGTCCCCTGCGCCAGCAGCCGCGTCTCCGTGTCCCCCCCCAGCTCATCCTCGGGGGTCCCCAAGGCGGTGGGGGCCATTCCCACCACGTGCTGAGCCACTCTGCGCCCCAACTCCCGCAGCTCGGCCGGGGGGGGCCCCGGGCCCGGCCCCCCGCAGGCCACCAGCGCCCCGTAGGTGCCCATGGCCACGGCGGGCCCGGGGGGCACCCAGCCGTGAGCGTAGGTGGCCACGAAGCCACCGGGGGCACGGAGCCACCCGGCCCGGCGCAGGGACAGCCGCTCGCCCAGGCGGCCTGGGGGGGGACAGAGAGAGGGGGGGTCATCGTCAGCACCCCCAAAAATGAGGGGAGGGGTTATGGAGCCCTGCCAGAGAGGAGGAGCTGCGAAAAGGGTTCTGGAGCAGCTGTGCCCAGCAGGGAGCCCCAGGAACAGCCCGGGGGGCTGCCCTGCCCAGAGCGGGGCTGGCACACCGCTGGGGGCACTGGGGGCACTGGGACTGGCAGGCTCTGGGGGCACTGGGAGCACTCAGGGCACTGGGGGCACTGGGACTGTCAGGCTCTGGGGACACTGGGAGCACTGGGACTGGCAGGCTCTGGGGACACTGGGAGCACTCAGGGCACTGGGGGCACTAGGGACTGGCACTGGGAGCACTGGGACTGTCCGGTTCAGGGGGCACTGGGAGGCACTGGGGGTACTGGGAGGCACTGGGGAGGGGCACTGGGGGCACTGGGACTGGCAAGCTCTGGGGGCACTGGAGGAGTCATTTGGCATCACTGGGGATGGGGTTCAGGAGACTTGAGACAAAAGGACAAGGAGGCAAACTGGGATTGCATAGAAAGGGCACTGGGCAGACTGGGATGGGCACAGGAGGGGCACTGGGCACACTGGGATGCACTGGGAGGGGCCCTGGGCACACTGGGCACACTGGGAGGGGCACAGGGGGCACTCACCCATGGCCAGTGCCAGGTGGTCGCTCAGCAGGTCCCCCCCGTCCCCTGCCCGCACCTGGGCCAGCTCATCCTCTCGCAGCAGGAGCTGGGGGAGAGGGGTCACAGAGGGGCACCCCAACAGCCTGGCACCCCCAAACCCTGCCCAACACCCCAGGCACGCTCAAACCCTGCCCCAACACCCCCAGGTACCCCCAAAACCTCCCCCAACACCCCCAAACACTGCCCCTACACCCCTGGCACCCCAGCACCCCCCAACAACCCAACACCGTCTGTGCCAACCCAACTCCCCCCCCACCC